CTTCTCTATCCAGCCCTTCCTCCCCCTCTCTCTCCCTCTCTCTCTTTCGCTCTCAACTTCTCCCCTCCCCCTTTCTGTCCTTCTCCCCCCCTCTCTCTCTCTCTTTCTCTCTCAACTTCTCCCCTCCCCCTTTCTGTCCTTCTCCCTCCCTCCATCCCTCTCTCATTATCTCTCTTTCCCTTTCTCTCGTTATCTCTCTTTCTCTCTCTCTCATTATCTCTCTTATCTTATCTAATTGTTTTCTGTGAGATGTGATTCTATTGGGGGATTCGAATCTTCTCTCATATCTAATAGAATTATTTGTTTTCACAATTGTTGTATAATTCATCGAGAGATTTATTTAAGAAACCGCATTAATTTATTCAACTATATACGTCTTCCTTATCAGTCTAGATGTCTAGATGAAGGTATTCGAATCCTTTTCACAATAAAAGGGATTTAATCCTTTATAGGATCTTCCACCTCATTCATAGGATTTATACATAATGCCTTGTTTCATTTCTCTATACATATTTGTTGTTCTTTGGATTTGTTTTGCTGTGACGTCATTCGGGTACACTCGTCTGAACACTCGCACTCTCAAGATAGTTAAGATCTTTGATTCTTTTATTACACTCAACAATTTAAAACTCATAAAAAGAAAAGAAGGAAAGAAAAATAATAAGTAAGCAAACTCAAAACGACAAACGCACATTCATGACGTCACGGTCTTACGAGAACGGCCACAAATCCGCTTCGAGAAGGATCCTTTGGCGGGAGGGCGTCACGGAGGAGGGGCGGGAGGGAAGGGGGAGGGGGGGGGGGGCTGTGACTCAACCTCCGTCCAAAAAGAGAGAGAGAGAGAGAGAGAAAAAAAAAAGAGAGAAGAGAGAAAGAGATTCTTGGAAGATCCCGGGACTGTAGTCAAGGGAGGCTCATTTGAGTTTTGGTCTCGATTGTGTTCGGTTGTGGATTGCTGAGGTAAAGTGACGCGTCGCCCTTTTCTCTTGCCATTTTTTTTTGTATGCTTCTTTTTATATCTTTTTTTTATTTTGTGAGAGGTAACGCGCATATATATATATATATATATATATATATATATATTATATATATATATACACATACCACATACACACACACACACACACACATAATATATATATACTATATATATATATTATATATATATATATATATATATATGCCGTAGAAAAAATCGATCTTGATACCAGCGAAAGTCCAGGGGAAGTTTGTAGAAATTTTTTTTTTTTTTTTTTTTTTTTTTTTTTTTTTTTTTTTTTTTTTTTTTTTTAGATAGACCAAGCAATTAAATAAAGGTCGGGGTCGAGCGCAGAATCTCGTGAAATACGTCCCTCGCCTTATTATTCAGGAGCCAACGACTGAAGTTCAGCAACGTTCAGCACTTTCCTTTGCAAGCGAACTTATGGGCCTCGAGTCAACTTTTAGCTCGTTGGCTGCCTTCAGCACTGCGCGGAGATCGGGTGCCTCTAGGAGCTGAACTTTCAGTGTTCATGGAAGATTGGAGATGATGTTATGGGACAATTTGTACCGGAAGACAGGGCTTGCGAGTCAGATTCGGTCAAAACATTGGCTTCTGAGAGGTCAGCTCGGAGGAAAATGGCTACCGTTTTGGTGAAATTCTAAGGAGCTAATCTTAATAGATTTCCTCGAAGCACAAACGATGACCGTAGACGCTTATTATCCAGAAATATTAAGAGAAATGAAAATTGCATTAACGAGAAGGCCAGGAAAATTGAATCGGGAGAAATTTGTTCCAAAATGACAAGGCGTCATCTGATTCTTTGGGCTCAGCGTGGCTTTATCGCAACAGCTTTGTTGGTTAATCTTATCCCATTCACTCTACTACCTTATTCTTTATTTCTTTTCTCTTCTATTTCTTTATTTCTTTATTTCTTTATTTCGTTCCCAAAGCTCAAAGAAAATTTTGAAAGCAGGGACGACATTTCAGCTTTTCTCGGAGGGGTCAAGGAGGGGTCAAGGAGAGACAAGCCGAGCTAACAAAAAATCGGAAAAAAATAGTTATTCTACGGGCTCTTTAAGCTAAAACCAAACCTCTGTAGGTATAATTTAGACATTCTTTGTTTTTTTTTTTTTTTTTTTTTTTACCTCGAGGGGACGGGGGGGGGGGAGGGGGGGGGGAGGCAAGCAACTGACGCCTTTGTTTGAAAAGGAGCATGACACGGAGGCAAGCAATTGGCGCTTTGTTTGACACAGGCAAGCAACTGACGCCTGACACGGGAGGCAAGCATTGACGCCTTTGTTTGAAAGGAGCATGACACGGGAGGCAAGCAATTGACGCCTTTGTTTTGACACGGGAGGCAAGCAATTGACGCCTTTGTTTTAAAGGAGCATGACACGGGAGGCAAGCAACTGACGCCTTTGTTTGGAAGGAGCATGACACGGGAGGCAACGCTGACGCCTTTGTTTGAAAGGAGCATGACACGGGAGGCAAGACCATTGAAACGCCTTTGTTTAAAGG